GGATAAAACATGATGTTGTTCGGGCCAATCCAAGGTTATCTAGGATCCTCTCTTATATGACCCGAACAATAGTATGCTTTATCCTTACAATACAAAGAAATATTAATGGGACCTCCGGCCAGGTTGACCAGTCCCATATATATATGATAATTTTCATTAAATTTGTTAGGTTCAAATGGTGATGAAGTTTCAATTGAAACTCAACGAGATTCATTACAATGGAAAATTTATTTTACTTTAACTGCAACTGGTAAATTAAATGTTTTTTTTTCTTGTTTTATAACAATAAAAAAATATTTTTTTTTGTTTATTGGTAGATTATTATCAATTTAGTATTGATGATAATAATGATGAACAAATATTTGATATACATTGTGTTGTTGAAGAAACAGATATATTTCGTAATGGTGGTATTGAAGATATAACTCGATTAATTGTGGATCATAGTAAAATTAATGGAAGTGATGTTAATGTTATTGTAAAAGGTACAAAGAAAAAGAAAAAAAAAATTTTTTTTGTTTTTGGTTTCTGATAAAATCTGTTGTGAGTGTTTAGATCCATTGGCTCATACAATTCCAGCAGCATTTTATCGAAATTTAAGTCGAGATCTTATTATTGAATATGTACCAACGAAACTAGGTAAGTTTCAGTATTTTATATGGTATGAAGGCAATGGCCATCATTAACATGATTTAAAAGTCTTTTGGAGTTTAAAATCATCTCTCGGGAAGAGAAATTTTGAATCAAATAGTAGTGAATTCATTCGTTATGAAGAAGAGCGAAAGATTGATTTGTTGAAGGTCTCTTTTGAATAAAGAACAGAAATAGAGTTTATTATTTATATGATGATAGAATAAATAATTCTCCAATCTATTGAACTATACCAATTTGCAAACGATCTTAATTTAAATTTCATTTTTTTTTTCTTTGTAAAGAAATGTTTGCTTTATCATTCTAGACGTATTTAGTTCCACATTTCACGCGTGCATAATTGACATGCTTGATAATTTTCTAGATAATAAATCATGAAATTTTTATAGTAAATCAAACGCATTGCAAAGATTCTATCAACATAATCAAGGTGAAATGATTCATACTTGATTTGAACAACTAGAAAGTTAAAATCAATTAATTTCTTACTGTTAATCTTTTGACTTGATACAAAAGATATTTAATTGTAACGATTTTGAGCAACGGAATATTTTAATTTTTATACCATTCAGATGAAAGACAGTTAGTGCTTCTTATTGTCATTTCACACTTTATACTGCATAAAGCTGGTTCGATTCAGAAAAAAAAAAGAAGATTAATGGTAAAGCAAAAGTGTTCGCAGAAAAACAAAAGAAATTTTCCTTATGAATTTGTTTATTTTTTGTTGAAAATATTTCTTAGACAACTAAGGTTAGTCACTGAAATAGGGTTGTTGATTAGAAGGTGGTTTTCGTGAAATTTTCAACTTTTTGTCAAACGCGACCATCACTACTAGATAATACTGATAACTCTGCAGTGAACGCCAAGAAAACTTTCGAGCACCTTTTAGTTTACCTTATTCAGGTTTGCCGTAGACTCGCTCAAGCATGTTTTCTAAGTTTATTGCACTACGAAAAAATTATTGTTTGCAGCTGAAGGCGGTGAAAAAAATCCCGACGTACTGTATAAATCAATTAATCTAACAGAACGATAAACGACTGTTTGAGTCTACCTAAACTTCGTAAGTCGATCACCCATGGTAACAATTTTAGAAAAGTGTAGTAGATCATTTCCGTCATTGTTTTTTTAATTAATGAAAGAGATGTTAAAGAAATCATAGTTGAAATATATGGGGGTGGTCAACTTGACTGATACCCCGTTTTGATTCAGCCCTATTGTAAGGATAAAACCTATTATTGTCCGGGCCATATAAGACAGGATCCTATATAAGCCTGGATTGGCCCGAACAACAACATGTTTTATCCTTACAATAGTAAAGAACAGCTACCAGCTTGTCATGTGATCTGCTAGCTTTTCTCTACTATTATAAGTATAAAACATATTGTTGTTCGGGCCAATCCAGGGTTATATAGGATCCTCTCTTATATGGCCAGGACAATAATAGGTTTTATCCTTACAATAGGGCTGATTCAAAACAGGGTATCAGTCAAGTTGGCCACCCCCATATTTATTGATTTATTTATTTAGATACTCATGAAATATTTATTCGAATTCAAAACAATCTACTTGATATATGTCCAATTCGTATTATGTCATTTGGTGCTAGTACTCCATTTGAACCTGTACTTCGTGTACAAGTTAAAGAAGTTCTTGAACATACATTTGAAGGTGTTACTGATAATGTTGATAAATTACAAATTGATATTAGTGGTAAATTATCAAAATAAAATAGAAATTAAAAACAAAAACAAAAAACATTATTTCGATTTTCTTTTTTGCATATAGATCCATTTGAAAGAGCATTACCATTTCAACGTTCAAAAAATGAACATGGAGAATTAACAATTGCTTTATCACCTATTCGTGTTGGTAAGTAATTTTTTTGTTTTATTCAATTCTATGAAAAATTGGACCTTCTTTTCTCTTTACTTTGTCAAGGTACACATTGGATACGCATAGCAAATGACGATAGTAAAAATTTTGCTTTATTACCTATATTTGCATATGATGATGATTATGTTCCACTTTCACCTATTGTTACACCATCACCAGAAGATAAATCCATACCAGAAAAACAATCAAATAATAGTAATAATAATAATAAAGCTCCAATTGATTCATTTATTCCACTTCTAACTGGAAAAGATTTAACAACAATTAGTGAAACATCTGAAACTCGATCATCACGTGCAACATCTAATGCATCATCACGATTACCATCTCCAATAAAAGAAATACCAGAAATAAGTTCACCAATAATTACTAATGAATCTAATAAAATATCTTCGAAAGATAATCGATCAAGTCCTGAAGTACAAATACTTGATATAACAGATTTAAATGATCCAGGTGTTCGTATTGTTTCAAAATTTAGTTTTAAAGATATCGATAATAAATTTAATATAACTATATATGGTAAAAAAAAATTTTAAAAGCAATAAAGTAATAAATTTTTGTTTTTATTATAGATGCTGATGGGGAAAATATTAATTATAAAACGGAATATCTTATTGATGGACGAAAAAGAATTTTTTATGAACCTACTGTTATTGGTATGTTTATGTTTTTTGTGTAATGTATGACTTTAGGAAATTAAATTCTATTCGAACTTAATTTTCTAATTAAAAATATTCAATAGTTCTTTTCTAGAAGTTTTAAAAGGATACAGTCCGATTAGATCGTGAAAAATGTGAATCTTATCTTGTCCCGTACGCCTTCTGGTTTCTTTTTTTTTTGACAAAGAAAACATGCCACAGTCTGTGTCGATATTTTTTCCTTTCGACCAAATTTGATAGTACTCTGTAGATTGATGTAGTTGTCANAAATTTTAAAAGCAATAAAGTAATAAATTTTTGTTTTTATTATAGATGCTGATGGGGAAAATATAAATTATAAAACGGAATATCTTATTGATGGACGAAAAAGAATTTTTTATGACCCTACTGTTATTGGTATGCTTATGTTTTTTGTGTAATGTATGACTTTATGAAATTAAATTCAATTCGAACTTAATTTTCTAATTAAAAATATTCAATAGTTCTTTTCTAGAAGTTTTAAAAAGGATACAGTCCGATTAGATCGTGAAAAATGTGAATCTTATCTTGTCCCGTACGCCTTCTGGTTTCTTTTTTTTTTTGACAAAGAAAACATGTCACAGTTTGTGTCGATATTTTTTCCTTTCGACTAAAGTTGATAGTACTCTGTAGATTGATGTAGTTGTCATGCTCTATAAAATGATATAATGATCATGTTTTTCGATTAGTTTATTTAGGGTCACGAAGGTACTTATTTGTACCTGTCTAACCGTGCATTAATTCATCGATAATCATGATCATTATGTTATTTTATAGAGCATAAAAAATTACATCGATCTACATTATTTATTTTCATATTAAGTTTATAAAAACAAAAATTATGATTACTATAGTTACTATCGTCAATTAATAGGCTTCTTAAGACTATCTAATCTTATTTATTGCATTCACAAAAAAATAAATAAATATACAAAAGTTCATATACTCTATATCTTTCTAACTTATTGAAAATGAAACTTAATGATGTAATAAATATACACCGTAATCTGACGGTATTCTTTAATGAATTTTAAAATTTTATATACAATGACGAGAGTATTTTAGGTCCTGTTGAAATTCATATTTCAAAAGACAATGAACCTATTGATGGTAGTCCAATAATTGTTAACGCATTTGATCCATCTGCAGTTAATTTAATTGATTTTCCTGATAAAATACAAATTAATGCAACTAATCGTTTTATTATTGATCCTACAAAAGCTGGAAAAGGTTCATTAAAAGTTTCTGTCAAAGGTATGATTTATATATATATATCATTAATAAAAATCAAAATGATATTTTATGTGATTTTTTCAGGTCCAAATAATCGCTCATTACCAATTACTGTTCTCAAACGATCAAATGGTCATGTTGCTGTAGAATTTCAGCCAATTGCTTCAGGCAAATTTGAAAAAAAAAACAAAGAATTTCTTCTGTAATCTTTGATCTAAATAATATTCTTTTAGGTCCACATACTATATTCGTTTTATTTAATCGAATTCCAATACCAGAAACACCATTACGAGTATTTGTTGAATCTAAAGATGTTAAAAGAGCATCAAATGAACCTATTGAAGAAAGTATGTATAATATCAACAAATACACATACACGCACACACACACACACATGTATATATATATATATATACACCGACACCCTTGTTAGTTATAGGAAATCACCGCTGTAGCACATTTTCATTTCATTGGACAAAATTTCACCTAATTTTTAGGAACAACCTATCGAGGACATGGTATTATTGGTATGTTTATTGAAATAGAAGACAGTGATATTGAATTTTTTTTTCTGTTTGTTTTTTTTTCGTTGTTGTAATAATAATAGAACAGTATCAGCGTTTAAAAGATGGTAGTCTTCGTTTAGTACTTCATTTTGATAAGCCAGAACAATCAGATTGGGAACAAATTCGAGGTGAATATTCGATTCAAATCAAAAAACCTCTGGACGATAATCAGGGTGTGTGTGTGTGTTTGTATGCCTGTGCGCATGTGTATTTTTATGTATTGACGAAATTTTTTATTTTATTATTTTATATTACTATAGAATCGATTGTTAGAAGTACTCAAACTAGTGAAGTCGGAGAACGTGAACGTGGACGTTCACTTTATCCGAAACAACATGATCAAGAACGAGCACGTTCATTATCATCTCAAACAATATTGGATCCAGTACATTCACGTTTATCGAAATCAAATGAAAATATTGCTCAATTAACATCACAAAAATATTCAACATCACCAAATGAACAACAAAATCGAGAACGAAGTATAAAGTTAGAAGATCGATATGCATCAATGCCATCAATTAAACCATTGAGTAGTTTACAAATTCAACAATTTAATTCAATAAAAGAAAAATTTGAACATCAACAACCAATTGATGTTGTCTTTGGTATGAAAGATTATTTTGTTGTTAGAAGATATTCAACAACAATAATACTTACAATTAATATTTGAAAAAAAAAAATTTTTCTTTAATGAAACAAAAAATAGAATTTAATCTACAATTTCTATAGGATAGCAAAATCTATCATCATTTTGTTTATGAGCTATTCTATATTGTCATAGAACATTAACAAAAAACAAAGAGACATATCGAAAAAAGTGAAAAATTTACGAGGGAATACATTTAATTATTCATTTTCGTTATAAGTCACAAGAGGCTATTCAACCTAAATGGGGAAAACGTGCGACTTGAGTAAAACGACAATACAAGGATCTACGCGTAGTCATAATATGAAATCGAGTAGCATCCGATAGTTGGATATACTTTCTCGAGGAAGAAAATATAGCCAACTAAGAAAATAATATGACATACATTAGTGAACAAAAGTGTCCGTCTCAGATAATCTTGGTCATTATATGTGCTACAGATCCGAAAGTTTATGCATACATAATTCATCTAGAATGTAGGTCATTGGTATATCGGCACCATTACAACTAAAAAACATTTTGCGCTAGCTAAAGTCTCATCTACAGTCTTTGTTATTAGTGTAAGATTTGCTTTTGAAACTTGTAAATAATAAAGGTTAATTGTAGAGAAAGCTTCTTAACAAATCTGAGCTTATCTTATTGAATAATCACTAAGTTATTGATCTTCAAAAGATAGTTGAAGTACTCGGCTACAGCTTGATTGCGGACACTTTTTTCGACCAATCAAGGAAAAATGTCCGCAAAGCAGAATCGGGGGGAGAGAGACAAAAATGACCACCAAGTGGAAAATGTCCGCAAAGCGGATCCGGGGAGAGACAGGCTTTTACAATTGAACTTCCAGGTATATTGATTGAAGCATTGGACAATTAATGTATACAAATCCATATTTGAGTTTCATTCTTATTTATTCGTTTCATTCCAAAATGATAATTTTCGAAGATTATACCATCCTTGCCACATTGTGTGATAATTGTAGAAACGCTAGTCTTTCACGATAAACATTTTTATTTAATTCATCTAGTTTTATTTACGTCACTTTATATACTTTCGTTCACAATACATGCTCACAAAATGACCTGGACGACATGTGACGTCTGACACNAGTGTAGGTCTTTCATTTTTCTGCACGCACATTCATGTCCAAACTAATTATTGTTTCCTATGTCCTTTCCGGAGAACTGTAAGTCTCGTGCACTGGAATTTTATCACTAAAAGCGAAATTTAAATTTTGAAAAAGTTGCGTGAAGGTACTCTATGTATGTTTGAGTCATTCTTTTCTTGTTTAAATGTTTTTAATAACCGAAGAGGTACTGAATAATGCATTTTTATAATCGAAATCGAACAAAAATTTGTCGACCGATTTGACCCGTTACGGCCGGATGTAGCCAATGGATACAAAAAAAAAAAATTTATTCTGAAAAATATATTTTTGGTGTCACTATGGTAGAGCAACAAAAAATATTCAAGAGAATATTCTCTCGCTGTCTGTCTTCTGGGAGCCGGCTGGAAAGGGCTAAGCATTTCATATCTTTAATTTTTTGACAATCTACAAGACTTTCTGATTTTCTTCAAGTTTTGTATTGAAAACAAGATCAAAATTTTTGTCATATTCAATATTCATATGGAAATCTCTAGAAAATAATATTTCGCTTCAGATGTTACAAGAGTATCCTTATTTTTTATAGAAAATGTGAAATGTTTACTCATGATGTCAATGTAATCCGAATTTTTTCCAGAATAAAGCTTTAATCTTTCTCTAACAAAATTTGTATTTCAATCAAATATCTATATATGTGCTCATATAGATAATATCAATTTACAGAGAGGGATAGAAACTTATAGGTGATCCTTTAGAAATTGAAATGATTATAAATTAAAAAAATTATTTTTTCTGACGTTTTGATTATTAGAACTATGTAAAATTGAGTAAATGATAATATTACAAGAGAGAAGATATATGCTCGAATGCAAATAGTGTTGCCTTTTGACCGTATAATGTTACAATTAGTCTTGGTTACACACCATTTTATGTAAATAAAATATGTTCCTTAGTATCATGACGACATAGATATTGCACTTTATTGTTGTCTCAATTTGTGCAATAAAATAAGGTTCACCTCGGAGCTCCGAATGAGCTGAGTTGAGCCTATCAAAATCGATCTATGGTTTTTCTTCGAGAATCGGGGCTGCATTTGATCGAGAAAATTTTTTGGGTGCGACCAAAGAATTATGTACCCTTCCATCATTTAGAATACTGATCCGTTATTCGAATATGCATTTTGTAGAGAAAATGTTTGCTTTCGGGTGGACCTAAGTCTAGAATCGGTTTTATCAAGCTCGATAATTTGACTACAAAAGTAGTATTAGATATAATGGAATAGCTAATAATTCTTTGATCGTGTTCAGAAATATATTCTGGACTCGATGCAACTCTCTATTGCTCATTGAGCCATTCGTGAAGTAAAAATTTTCTCAAGGATTACTTGACTTGTTAATCTGATCAAGGTTATTCATCATCATTAAAATTGTTTTATTGTGTAAGTTTTACCACACATTGTTTGCGAAGGAGGAGAACAAGACAGACACATTTTGTTAAATAAAAAGAAAGTTTTTCAATGTGAATAGACGAATAAATTAAGTATTAACAACTTACTGACAAAATGCTTACATGTCGGCACAAGACCAACAAATTCTAGAGGATGAATTAAACTGGTATTAGCATACATGCTTAAGTCAATTGAACTTATTGGTCTTGTGCTGACATGTCAACACATTTATTTTTTGTTGGTAAATTATTATCAGTCGAATTTTGTATTTATTCTTTGTTTTCTTTCGTATATTTACTCGCTCTTCAATTCATGAATGTTTGACTGAACGAAAGAATTAAAAGAGATTTTTCGAAGAATTTTATTCAAGATTCTGTTCTTAGGCTATCACCAATCTATGGATCAAAGTTTGTAACCTATGTAAAAAAAAAGACAGGAAAAAAAACTGAATATCATTTCATAGGACCAAATCAGGTTTACTTACAACCTCGATCTACCTTTATCCGATCAGACTGAAAATCATGAAAGACGTAAAGGTCCGGTCCCGAAACCGGGAGTTATTACAAGGTGTGAAAAGTTTACCAGCTTTACTAATCAGTTCAGTAAAAACATCGTCTGATTGAAATATGATATTTTAAGCCGAAGTCAAGATTTTTGTTGATTAAGAGAAACCTATTATAATGAAGCGAATTCATAAGAAGTTCTAATCTTTTCGATTGTTTTATTTTCTATTAAAATAACCTGTTGAATTTTTATTTAATTAATAGTTCCTCTTAAAATTGATGATGTATCATTTCGATCAACAGCTAAAAAAGTACGTTTTACACCAAGTGAAACAGGTGTACATTATTTAAATGCAAAATTTGGTTCAGAAATAGTACCAGGTAATTAAAAATTATTTTCTTTTCTTTCTTTTTCATATTCTTATAAATTAAATTTTCTACAAACAAAAATAGGTACACCAATTAAAATGATGGTTAATGATGCTCGTCTAGTAACAGCATATGGTGATGGAATTCATCATGCATTACATGAAAAATTAGCAACATTTATGATTGATACACAAGATATGCAAGGCGATTTAAAAGTCCGTATTGAAGGTATGAAAATAAGAATATCAAATATCTTAAATACTATATTCTATTTTTCAATAGGATCAAATTCAGTTATTAAGAATACACTTGAACGAGCAAATGATAATCGTTTTAAAGTAACATATGTACCAGTTGAAGTTGGATTTGTTAATATAAGTATAAAATGGAATGGAAAAGATATTGCTAATAGCCCATTTAAAGCTGCAGTTACTAATCCAGGTCTAGAGATTTATTTATTTATTTATATAAATATACACATGTATGTCGTGTTTAGAACGTGTTCGAATTGTTGGAGGTTGGCAATCAATACTTGATTCTGAAGATCGCATGCATATTATAATTAATGAAGAAAAGAAAATACGTTTTGATACATCTCATGCTGGACCAGGTAAATATTTTTTTTGTATTTATATTTTTAAATTAAATCTAGTTTATGTTTTCATCTCTTTTAGGTACTTTAAAAGCTGATATTCGAGGTAGTAATGATGGTCTTCGTGTACCATTACGTATTGATCAACAAAGTGCAATTTATACACTTAGTTTTACTGTAATACGAGAAGGAAAATATGATATAACGATAACTTATGATCAAAATCCATTACCAAATATGCCTATTCGAGCTATTGCAAGTTCAGCAAGTACAAATTTAGGTGAACATTTAAAAGTTGAAGTACGTGGACATGGTTCATATGAAGCAAAAGCTAATGAAGAAGCAGAATTTACTATTGATGCATCAAAAACTTCAACTCAAGGTACTGGTATGCCTATTGTACGATTAACTGGTGTTCAAGCAGATGTTGAAGTTCGAATTCGACAAATTGAAAATAATGTTTTTCTTTGTTCTTATGTACCAACAGCACCAGGTAAAATAAATCAATAGAAATTTTAGCAAGAAAAAAAAATTCATTTTTTTTTTTTTTTAGGTGCCTATTTACTAAGTGTAACATGGGCAGAACGACAAATTCGTGGATCACCATTTAAAGTCAATGTTTTACCAAATACAAATTCTAATCATTCAGCATCTCGAGTCATCTGTTCAGGTGATGGTTTAAAAATGGGTATACTAGGTAAAGAAATAAAATGTATCATTGATACACGTGGTGCTGGTCCAGGAGAATTAACAGCTTATTGTCAAGGAGTAAATAAAACAGCATTTTGTCGTTTATTTGATCATCGTGATGGTACATTTACATTATTTGTTAAACCACAAGAAAGTGGAAGACATATATTGACTATTAAATATAATGATGAAGATGTATCAGGTAGTCCGTATACACTTAAAGTTAGCGGTCCACCGGATGCAAGTATGTATTGAAAATTTTTCGAAAACCAAAGAAAAAAAAGAAAGAAATATGATGATTCGATGTTTAGATAAGGTACGCGTCTCTGGTCCAGGTATTGAACATGGTGTTCTATCAACATTTCAATCACATTTTATTTGTGAAACAAAAGGAGCAGGTAAAAAATTTAATTTTATCAAACATAATTACTCATAAGTCTTACAAGAGAAATTCTCTTACTGAAAAATGACTTTTGTATAGAGACCATTTTTAATGAGAATAGTTTATTGTTAAAGTTTCAGGTCTTTTGATTTGCTTCTATATTGAAATAGCAGTATCAAATCTGTCGACTTATATGAGCAACACAAAATACACATTATTACCATAGTTGTATCTTAGGACAAGAACAGCGAAAAGATCTGAAATCGTCCAGGCATTCGTATAAAAAATATCGTAAAAATGCAGTATCTTCGTAGAAATAAGCTAAGAACATGAACTTTTTTTCCGGGTATTCACAACTCTACATTGTCTTGAATCAAAAGCGACACAAATCAATCTTCTCATTCCTGAATATTCCATTCTCAAGAAATGATAATCAGTCTCAAACTATATTTTCTAGCATTTTTTATATACATCGAGTGTTTATCTTCTTCTTATGTGAAACTGTTGTGTGTTCGTAGGAACGAAATACGAAAGTGAAATCAGCAAACCAAACTCTCAACTGATATTTTCATTCTAAGCAGATCCAACTCGAATAATTATCTTTGCTAGAAACAAATTATTCTGCTAAAAAGATGTTTTTTTTTTTTTTAAATTTATTTTCTAGGTGCTGGACAATTAACAGTGAAAATTCGTGGTCCAAAAGGTGCTTTTCGTGTTGAAATGCAACGTGAACATTTACAAGATCGTACAATAATATGTCGATATAATCCAACAGAGCCCGGCGATTATCTTATATCCGTTAAATGGAGTGATGAACATGTTTATGGTTCACCATTTCATACGCATATTTTCGAACGACAAGAAGAATTAGAACGTTTTTTACATGAACAAACTGCTTATCGTCTAGCACAAAAACAATGGAGAGAGGAAGTTTGAAAGAAAAAAATAAAAAACAAAAAACCTAAGTTTCTACAATCTCTTTTTCTTTGAATGATTTTTATTTCTCGTTCTTTAGCGAAACTTTTAGCAATAATATTTGTTCGTTCGTTTTTTTTTTTCTCTTCTCGTTTTTTTTTCTTCTTTTTTTCTACATAAATAAAAATTATTCTACAATTTTCATTAATCATTATCTTCATCATCATCTTTATCAAGAAAAACTCGTCCATCTAATTTTTTTAAATGTGGTATACGAATATTAAATTCACGATAATATTCTTTTTCTAATGATGTTATTGGTTGACTTGGTTCAGGTGAAAAATTATCACCAACAATTCGTTCATGTATTGGATTTCCATATGCTGTTATTTCTTCTAATAAATTTAATTCATTTAATTTATTTATTTCAATCCAATCTTTTATTTGATTATAAGCAAAATAAAATACACGTAACTTTTTTAATGTATTTATTCCTTTAAATTTTTCTATGTGATTATATGATATCCATAATTGCTCAAGTGTATCACCAAGTACTTCAAGACCATTTAAATTTTTTAAATTATTTCTTGAAAGAGAAAGAATTTTTAAATTACGAAGACCATTCATATAACCAATACGATCGATTGTATTTGATGATAAAGCTAATCGTCTAATTAATTTATAGAAATCAAGGAAAATTTTATTTTATTTTTTGTATTTAAACATACTCGCAATTAATAAGTGATGATAATGTTTGATCTAGCTTTTCGATAGGCGGTATTCGTCCATATAGATAGCATTCTTTAAGTTCTTCTGGTTTTCGATCATCAAGCTAGCATTGATAAAGAATTATCTATTAATTTACAAAACTAATATAACATACATATTTATTTAAAGCTTCACGAAATGTTTGGTAGGTCTATAGAAAATAGAATTTATTTGAAGGTTAAAAAAATGGAATTTCATTTTACCATTGTCTATTATAAGAGAAAAGATGAAAATGAACATAAGGCAGATTCATTTATGAGCGCGTAATTGTTTCTAAGGTTTCTTTTAATTTATGATAAAAAAATTGTTTATAGTTCATATGTATAAGACAAGCGTGAAAAATCCTTGTTCGAAGTACGATCATTTGCTTTAGTAAGAAATTCTAATCGTTAACGGTTTACAACAAAAAAAATTATTTATTCTTCTGACTAAAATATAAAAAATATATCTAATTTTTTCGATTATTTCTTCATATTGTTTGTATCCGATCTTAAGCTTTTAACATTAGTTTATCCCATTTTATTCTCTTTATTTTCTATTCATAATAATACATCAAATCAAAACTTGAATGAATTAGATCAATCATTGATGTACACTGAAATCTAAAAAAAATATAAGAAATTGAGATTGATTTTGACAGACAAAGATTTGATAAAAGTATTATTCCATTCAATAAAAGATTTACTGTTAGTTAATCAATTTTTTTCCTATAGAAAAAATTGTCACTTCGACCCCTTCTGGAGTCATAAAACAGTTTTTATTGTTGATAGGCGCACTCTGAAATTTTATCATTTCGACAATATTCAAATTTATAATTACTTTTCTACCAATTTATTTGACTTCATTTAATATCATTATATTGTAAAAACTTATTTGTATTATCAGATATATCTTCAATACATGATTTCTTTTCAGCTAATTTTAATATATAC